GTGTTTATAAAAATTCTTAAAGGATTATGATTACAATTACATTGAGTCTATAGATCAGTTAAGAAAGATGTGACATCTTGACAGTGTTGTATCTTCAAATATGTGAGCCATTTCATCTCTTTTTAATCTTCATCTTTATGTCCATTCTCACACCTAACAACATTATATTACTGTTTTGTAGTTTTTTAAATTTTGTATCTTATTTTATTATTATTTTGTGTGTGTACTGTCAAATCGTATCTGATTGTTACAGGAGGATATTGGCCCTCCTTTTCCAGCAGAGTATCGTTGATTCGAACTGTGCGCCTCTGGAATTGCAGTGCATATTCTTGCCACTGGGCCACCAGAGCTCCCTGTTTTGTAGTTTTTAGCATAGAGCTCTTACAAACCTGTTGGTACTTTTATTCCCAAGTATTTGATTTTTGCTTGTTTATTTTACATTTTTGTAAAATGGAGCTGTCATTTGTACAGTCATTTCTTGGTATATAATGTATTGTCTTTTCAGACTTCTTGCAAGATTTTCTTCTTTTGTCTTTTAGCATTTTGACCATGAGGTCTAGATATAGTTTCTTTGTATTTATCTCTCCTGAGTAGGTGCTAGATTCTTTATTCTGTAATTGATCAGTAAGTCTGCCATCCAATTTAAGAAGTTTGTAGTCATTATTATTATTATTATTTTAAAAATATTTTTTCTGCCCCATTTTTTTTTTACCTCTACTGGAACTTCAGTTACATGTATAGATAGAATGTTGTTGTCATGTACTGTGGAATCACAGCTGACACATAGTTGACCCTTTAGTATGTATACTTTCTGAGGCTCTGAATATCACAAAAGATTGTCCATCTTTCTTCTATTAAGCAGCTGGTGAATTTGGAATGTATCTTTTGGTTAGCAGCAGCACAACTCTTTACCAGTAAGACATGAGGGCTCTTTGGAAACAGAATTGTTTGTTGTTTACTGTTGGAACTGACCATAGCTATACCTCCAGCAATAAATCACAAGAGAGGTAATGGTCCAGCCTTTCCTCGCACAGAGTATCTGGTGGATTCAGATTGCCTATCTCTGGGATTGCAGCTCAGTTTCTTACCACTAGGCCACCAAAATGCCCTGCAGACAGATAAGATTTTCCAAGGCTGTAAAAATCTGTATGGAATCAGACTGCCTTATCTTTCTCTTATGGAGTACCTTGTGGATTCCAGCCACTGACCTTTGGTTAGTTGCCTAATAGAATTATGATGATAACACATTGCTTATTTAAAAAATTAAATAGGACTCAGCTATTCCACTACTTGGAATGTACCTTGAGAAAATGAGAACTGAGGCACAAATGGAGACTTGTACACCAGTGTTCATAGCAGCATTATTCATCATCGCAAGAACATGGAAACAGCCCAGATGTCCAAACACAAACAAATGAATTAAGAAATTATAGTACATTCACACAGTGGAATACTATGCAGCACACAGGAGCAATGATTTTGTAAATTATAACCTAACTTGGGGGAACTGGAGAGCATTATGCTGAGTGAACTAATTCAGCCCCACAAGGACAAATATTGTATAAACCCATTATTGTAGAGTAAGTATAAGGATCCAAGGGAGGGGGAGGGTGGAAGCAGAGGGATGTGGATGTGCAGGAGGAGGGGGGATTAATCATGGAGTTGTACAATTGGACGGGTGGAGGGGTGAGGGAAAATGGAAGATTCTGTTCTGGAAAACAGTGTATTTGAATTTTGTAAATAAACTAGTTGTTGTTAAGAGCCGTCAAGTCGCAGGCGACTCATAGCGACCCTATGAAGGAGAGTCCTCGATGCTTAGGTGCCTTTCATCCTCTCTCCAGGTTCATAGGGTTTCCAGAGGCAGGCTATTATGGAAGTGGATACCACTCCTCCTTCCAAGCTTAAATAAACTCGTATAATTTAAAAAAAATTAAATAAGTCCCTCTATGAGGTGGATTGATTCAGTGACTGGGGTAATCAGGATGGGTGTGTCAGAGGCAGTGAGATTGGCACAGGACAGAGCAGTGTTTAGGGCTGTTGTACATAGGGTCGCTGTGAGTCCAAGCGACTTGACGACACATAACTACAACAACAGTGCTAAAAGTTTCATTTTGAAAAGATCCACCTCTTTTCTGGTTACTGTGTTGCTGTAAACAGCAAAGGCACCCTCTACGAGGCCATGTGCGAAGTCCTGCATGAGAACCAGCGCAAACGCAGAAAGTTTTTAGAAATGATGGAGCTGCAGATCAGTTTGAAGAACTCTGATCCTCAGAAGGAAAAACACTTCTTAGTGACTGTTAAAATTAAGTTCAGCCCACACCCTAAGTTCTCTCTGCTCCTGAGGATCAGCAGCATTATGTTGAAGCCAAGGCTGTGGATATCCCTCACATGGTCACTGAAGCCTGAAAAAAGCTCATCAAGAATAAGAAAAGGGAGCTCTGGTGGCCTAGTGGCAAGAAGCTGCATTGCAATCCCAGAGGTGAGTGGTTCAAATCCACCAGATGCTCTGCTGGAGAAGGAGGGGCAATCTCCTCCTGTACCAGTCAGATCTGATCTGATGGTGTACACTCACAAAATATAATAAAATAGAAGACAAAACAAAGAATAAGAAGCTGGCTAAGAAGTATAATGCCTTTTTGGCATATGAATCAATCACATCCCAAGAATACTGTGTCCAGGCCTGAAGAATGTTGGCAGATTCCCTTTTCTGTTTACCCACAATGAGAATATGGTGGCAAAATGTAGATGAGGTGAAGTCCACCATCAAATTCCAGGTGAAAAAGATCCTGTGTCAGGCACTGGCTATTGGCCATGTGAAGATAACAGGTGATGAACTTGTTTACAACATCCACTTGGCTTTCAGCTTTCTGGTTTCACTGCTAAAGAAGAATTGGCAGAATGTTTGGGCTTTGTACATCAAGAGCACCATGGGCAAACCCTATCGTCTGCACTAAGATACAGCTCTCTATATCTTACTGTTATTAAAAAAAAAAGAAAAGAAAAGGAAAAGATTTTAGGCCAGCTCCATTCCTTAGAAACTTGTGATCTTTTAACTAGACTGATATTTGCCTTTTGTGTCTAAATAATATCCTTATTTCACTATTACTTGATTTAATAATTTTAGATATTATTGACTAGGCCATTAACTAGTGCTAGATGTGAAACAAATTTAGCATTCCTTTTTTTAAAAAAGTGTTTATTATTTTGTATGTGTGTACCTTCAAATCGGATCTGACTGTACAGGAGGAATCCTTCTCCAGCAGAGCATCTAGTGAATTTGAACTGTGTACCTCTGGGATTGCCGTGCAGCTTCTTACCATTAGGCCACCAGAACTCAAATTTAGCATTCTTAATTGAGATGAAATATCTACATTTTCAGCATTCTCATTATAGTGTTCATAAAATAAATAAGAAATTATTAACTAATTCATGGTATCATACCTTTACAATAATCTTGTGCAGTTTTGGTACTTTCATTGTTTTCATTTTATGGATAAGGAAATATCCTTTATACAAGTCAAGCCCCCAGTGGGTGATAGAGCCAGAATCTGATGTTTTGAACTTGAATTCTTAAATATTTTATTGTAATGCCATTTGGGGTATCTTATTACTTGACATTTAAAGATTTGTAATTCATATTATCAAATAAACTATAACTTTGTAACATGTAAATTTATGTTGAGAAGCAACTCTGGATCCCAGGTATGGAGTAGGCAAGTAGTCAAGTTGTGGGTCAGCCACTTGGTCATGCTTTTTTCTGAGTTTAACTATATTTTTAAATGGATTTTCTAAATTTGCATAGTCCTAGCCTAATGCATAGAGGTGCTCTGGTGGTACCATCTGTGGCATGTTGCATTGCTAACCAAAACATGTGTCGTGGCAGTTAGAATCCGCCAGCATTTTGAGGCAGAAAAATGCTCAGTTTTCTTCAGTTAAGTTCCATGGAAACCTGATGCAGGGAGTTTGAGCCAAATGATTGATTCTGGTGGTAATCTGGTGGGAAGTGATAACTGGCGTTTCTAACATGTTCCCTGGTGATGCTCATGATGCTGGTTCTAAATGGCTTTTTGTTTTACCTTCTCTTTTGTTTCACATGTTAGTTGTCTCCTGTAGTTAGTTTGTTATCTTCTGGAAAGCAGTTTGGTTACTGTAGGGGGAGTGTGTGTGTATGTGTGTGTATTTACCACACAGTAACAAATGAGATAAGTATCCTCTTTGTTTAGTGTTCATAGGGTTTTCAATACCTTTTATTTAGGAAGTAGATGGCCCATCTGCTTCCTAGTCTGTCTCAATCAGGGAGCTCCACCAAAACCCGTCCACAATGGGGAAACCCTTTTGGAATTTGACACACCAATGGCAAAGATTTCAGTATTGCAGCAACCCCAAGTAATAGCAGTACAGCAAACTGACAAATTGCTAGGAAGTGCAATTCCTTTGAGAAGGACATGATTTTGGGAAGGGTATAGGGTCGGCAAAGGAGAGGAAAACCCTCAAGCAGGTGGACTGACAAGGTGACTGCTGCAGTGGGCTCTTTTGTGTCAGGAAGTGTGAGGATGGTGCAGGACAGGACTGGGTTCAGATCTTTGTTCATAGGGTCGCTAAGAGTTGGCACCTAACAACAACAACAAGAAGTGAGATTTGCTTACACAGAGAATAGGTTAACGATGAGCTGATTATTTCCTTAAAGAGTTTGTAATTTTAATTTTTCCATTATAAATGATTGTGAACACATCTTAAATAGCACCACCATAATAGAAAAAGATTAACGAAGTGGAAGAGATAGACTCTAGAGGATTTTCAGAGCTTGACAAGCTATCATGTAGTGCTGAAGAGCTTAGTCTTTGAGTCAATGTTTATACATGTATAAATAAAATCACTCATAGGGTATTACATAGGAATGTTTTATCTGAATTCTACTGGAAGTTCTTGCCTTTAATCTTTAGCATTTTTTGAGCTCTTTTGTTCATTTTGTGTTTACATAAAGGTCAACCAAAATCAGCATGTCTGGTATTGAGGAAGCAGTTCCTGGAAGCCGTGACAGCCGACATTCTTTTGCTGCTGGCAACTCTGTATTATGCTTTGGACAGGTAATGATTTCTTTGTATTTGGAAAACATAAAGCTAAGTGAGACAATGTATGTGGAAGCAATTTATAGGGGATCATTATACATATGTTTAAGAAATATAGTATTAGTGGGTTTTCCTTTAGATGCACTATTTGGGGGTCACTGATAAACTCTGAGGGCATTTTTGAACTTGAGCATCATAAAGCTGGTAGGATTAAAAATTACATTTAGTGTTAAATACTTCTTATAAATACTCATTTAAATGTAAATGGAAATACAGACTATATGTGAAAAGTTCCCCATCTCTGTGGAGCATCAGAAAAAGAAAGACCCTCTACAAGATGGATTGGCACAGTGACTAGAACAGTGGGCTTGCGCATGTCAGAGGTGAGCAGGAGGGTGCAGGATAGAGCAGGGTTCAGATCTCTTGTTGCAGGGTCGGTGTGAGTCATCATTGACACCGGCACCTAACAGCAACACATGCCGCTCAGTTCACTTTGGGGATTGTGATAGCCAAAGTTACTGGAATCTTTGTAGAGATATCCAGAGCACATAGAAGGGAATATTACATCATCTGCCCAAATTCTTTCTTTGTGTCTACCAGAGATTTGCTGGTGAATGTTCATTTCACTTAACTAAGGCAAGAGGAAAAATAACTAGGGAACATGAATGAAAGCAACAGGTGGATAAATAGGTATTTATCTACATGAAGTTGTTGAATAAGGAAGACAAATTTGGAAAGGATAAATGGAAGCAAGACTTTCTATTATATTTCCCTTTCTTCCCCCCCCCCCTTTTCCTACATAAATGCCACACACAGAAACTCTTACTTTCTTGTTTCCAGCTTGAGAAAGTTTTATAAGGATGGTAATAATATCTGAAGCAGTGGTCCGAACAATATAGTTAGGGACTTCTTGGGATACACAAGACCCTTTCAGAGTCCATAATTTCAGTTATTTTCAGAGTAATATGAAAATACCATGTGATATTTTGACTCTCATTTTCTTACAAGGATACAGTGGGGTTTTCCAGAGACTTCATGACATGTAATCTCGTGGCTAATTGAATGTATGCTTTAAAAATGTCTGTTTTCATTCCTAATTTGATAGATAATTGATAGATAAAATCAATATGAAGATAAGCTTGTTGTGGCCCTCAGTACTTTTTAAGAATCTAAAAGGGTCTTGAGACTAAAAAGTTGAAGTCTTACGTAAAGAGTGATGGAAATGTCAATTTAACATTTTCTTTCTCTATTATAGTGTCAATACACAGCAGAAGAGTACCAGGCTATCCAGAATGCCCTGAGGCAGAGGCTTGGCCCAGAATATATTAGTAGCCGCATGGCTGGAGGAGGCCAGAAGGTAGGAGAAATCACATGCCTGGACAGTGGGCAGTCATCTAGGACTACTTAGATGATCATTTTTACTTTTCCTCTGGGTCCTCAGGGATTCAGAAAATGTCTTGTTCACTGTTGCTGGGTTTAGTCTGGTGCATGGTCTCTGGGAGGGAATAGGATGAGCTCTTGTCTTCACTGTCAGCTAAAGTAAAGTAGCCCAAGCGTTGTTTTAAGATTTGTGTGCTTGCCATCCTTCATGTTTTATACCATCTTTAAAAAAAGATTTTAATTCTATTTGCTTCTAAAACCAATACTTCATTGCCATTTAGTTGATTCCAACTTGTAACAACAATCCCAAATTTTCCAGGCTGTAAATCTTTATGGGAGGCAACTGTCTCCTCTTTTTCATCCAAAGTAGCTGGTGGACTTGAACTGCTGACTTTTCAGTTAGCAGTATAACTCATAACAGAAGACCAAAGACTCCAAACTTCAGTGTGGATTACATACCAATATCAGGAAACAAAAATCCTCACAACTGGACTAATAGGCAACATTCTATTAAGTGGAGAAAAGATTTAAGTTGTCACTGATTTAATTTTACTTGGAGCTTTGGTGGCCTAGTCACTAGGGAGTTGCACCCTCAGCCCAAAGGTCAGCAGTTTGAATCCACCAGCTTTTCTGTGACAGAATGAAGGGCAATCTCCTGCTGTGTGATTCACAGCTTTTGAAAACCAGCTAGACTGCCAGCTATGAGTTGATACTGACTTGACAGCAGTGAGTTTTCTGTAATCTACATTTATGGTAGCAGCAAATTAAAACTATTTGAAGGACCTTTATAAAGTGCTAAAAAATAAGGCTGTCACTTTAAAGATTAAGATGTACCTAACAAAGCCATGATATTTTCACTTGTTCCATATACATATGAAATTGGACAATAAGGAACCTCAAAGAAGAATTGATGCCTCTGAATTGTGGTATTGGCAGAAAATATTGAACACATCATGGACTACCAAAAGAACAAAGAAATTTGGCTTAGAATTGTAGCTAGGGGTCTTTGCATACTTTGGACATACTTTCAGAAGACCTTGGACCTTGGGGAAAGACATCATGATTGGATTGGAAAGTAGAGGGTCAGTAAAGGAGAGGAAGTTCCCCAATGAGATGGACTGACAGAGTGACTTTAACAGTGGACTTAAACACAGTAGATGGTCCTGATAGGGCAAAGTTTGATTGTTGTATTTAGGGGCACTGTAAGTTGGAGTGAACTCTGTGTTAGGTATCTAAGAACAGCAACATTTGCTTCTAATTTAATTTCAATATGTTTCATAAAATATGTCAGTCTGAGAGCCATACCTTTCAAAGGCAGTTTTGCCCTTGAATTTTAATACAGCCTTTTGTTCTCTAACTTTTCCTCAGGTGTGCTACATTGAGGGTCACAGAGTAATTAATCTGGCCAATGAGATGTTTGGTTACAATGGCTGGGCGCATTCTGTTACACAGCAGAATGTGGGTGAGTATATTTCTGGGCAACAGGGATGTAAAAAGTGAGGATGGCATGAGTTTGGCAGCATCTGACCTCTACTCACTCCACAGGGGATTTATTCTTATTAACACCCACAATACAAAACCAGATTCCATAAGAGATTAGAAGCTCTACTCCTGCATATGAAATCTTTTGCAATAGCTACACAGACCTCACAGAAGAACCACAATTATGGAGTTTATTAGGGAAGTTAACAGCTTTCAACTCAGGTTGACAACACGATACCATTTCACTCAGGACAAGGACAGCTTTTTTGCTTGCATGCCCTTAAACTTTCAGCCTTACAGTTTTAGGTCAGTGTTACCAATGTTCTCTTGACAGCATCTTAAACCAGAGGAAAGCATTCTGCAGTGTGTGTGCCATGTAGAGAATTGATCTGATTATAAAAGTCCTATCCCCAGTTCCAAAAGTCAATTTGCAGAAACCTGCTGTTTCTGAGTTTCACCCTACCTTCGTAATAAAAATCCTTTATTATAATGCACATATAGTATTAGTATCTTTAAAGAAAAGTACCCTTAAAGAACAAAAGGGACTTGAGGGCTTCTCCATTAATACTGCCATCCATCCCCGCCGCCACCTGGGCTAAAGGAATTCTCCTGGTTCTCAGTTTCCCCTTAGTAACACCTATGGTGAATTCTTCTTTCCTGTGTCTGAATGTCTTGTGTCTCTGATAAAATGTAGATACAGGTTTGTTGCCCATATCAGAAGGTCTCTTATCAAAGAAACCAAGGAGAAAAATGTATGAGCACTCCCTTTTAGGACTTTGATGTAAATAAAACTTCAATTTTGTGACTTGTGTAGCTCTTTCTGTAAGATAGAACCTTCTTGAGTCTGGGGAGGAGCTGCCATATTGATTGTCCCCAAATCCCTCACTCTTTACCTGTTTGTCTTTTTCCTTTTTAAAATAACATATGAATTACCTTACTTGACTTTCCTTAACTGCAGTAGTTACTGTTGGTTTTTTGTTTTATTTTTGACCCCTACATTACAATAACCACTCATTACCATTGAGTGAGAAGCAACTCATAGTTAACCCTCTAGTCAGTTTTTTTGTTTTGTTTTTTTTTGAGAAGAGATTGCCCATCTTTCTGCCACAGAGCAGGTGATAGATTTGAACCAACTGCCTTTTGGGTTGGCAGCACAACTCCTTAACTGCTAGGCCACCAGTCCTGCCAAGTATGGATTCTATCCCTTAGTCCTCCAGCAAGCTTGGGCAAAGGCCCCTGGTCTACCTCTGTGGGGCAGTGTAAAAAGAATGTAGGCAGCATGAGAATGGCTGTATCTAACCTCTACTAACTTCACAAAGGGGAAATATCCCCATCAACAGCATCCACAGAGAACCAGTTTCTCTAAAGTCAAACATAGTCTCCTACACTCCTTCTGCTAGTTTCTTCCTGCTCTACTGGGTCCTCAATCCATTGCAGTGACCACCTAGAACCATACTTAGTATTAATGAATTTTTTTAGGGAAGTTGGCAAGTAACAGTTGTGGTTGGTAGCAGGATACAATTCCTTAGTCCAGGTAGCCTCTTAAGTGTGCTCACAGGAGTTTTGACCTCCAGCCTGACAGCTTAGGCCAGTGTTATAAAATCTCTTTAATCCTGCCAATTATGTTGTCTTCCCTCAGTCCTCCAGCAAGCTTGAGATGAACGCTGCTGGCTCTGGCTCTGGCACTGAGGGGCAACAATCCCATATCATTGCTGTCTCATATTGGTTTCTGATTTTCTGTGGAGGCTGCTGCTGCTTTAATGTAGATCCCTTCTGTCTATGCAGGAATCTTTGGCCCAAAGAACATGTTCTGACCTTCCTGCCTTCTCTTCAGTGCTGATAGTGAAATTTTTGCATTCACTGCTAAATCTGCTCATTTTAACTTGATGAAATGGGGGAAAACTGGCCAGGCTCATAATAATTACCTTCTGAATAACCTGTTTTTGTACTCATGGAATGAAAGTCTTAAGTCTGTGGGTAGGAAACTAATTTTGAACAGTAAACTCTTGACCCTGCAGGCCTCATCTCAGACGGGCTCTGTCTAATGTTGGGTCTCTGGTTCTCTGCTGTGACTGCTGTCGCTCCTGTGGCAGTCCTCATCTGAGTGGTGCAGGAATCTCTGACCCTGAAGATCTTGCACTGTATTTTCTGTGTCTTCTTTCTTGTTGGTAGTGAGATACCCAATTTCTGCCATTGGACTTGCTCTGTTTAAAGCTAAAAGAATGACCAGACTAGCCGGTCCCTTCATGAATAGACTAAAACTTCCTGTTTGTGTGTTCCTGCTTAGCCATGTGGCGAAGGTCAAAGGCAGTGGCTCAGGAAAGCCATTATGAATAGTTAAGCCACTACTCCACAGGTGACTTCTCATTCCTCTTGTTTGGTATGGTCTAATTTCTAACAGTAGTATTTTGTGGATAAGATGTATTTGGAAACAGGAGTGGCATCCACTTCCTAAATAATATGCCTCTAGAAATTCCATCAACTTTGATAAATATTGATAGTTGTAGAGGGGCTTCAGGCTTTTTCTTCATACGGTCGCTACGAGTCATGCTTGACTCAAAGGCAATCAACATCAACAGGAGAAATATGAGTGAAGCCCAAACAAATATGTCTCAGAGAAGGTGCAGCTAGAGTGCTCCTTAGAGCGAAGAATGATGACACTTCATTTCACATATTTTGGGCACGTTGTTAGGAGAGGCCAGTCCTTGGAAAAATGTGTGCTCAGAAAAGTTGTGGGTCAGCAAAGGAGGGGAAGACTCAACAAGATTAACTGACACAGTTACCATTATAATGGCTTCTAGTGTGGCAAAGAGGACTGGGTTGGCACAAGATAGGATAGAGTTTAGATCTGTTGTTTATGGGGATGCAATGAGTTGTAGTTGACTTGATGACATCTAACAGCAACAGCAGCAGCAGCAGTCTGTTCATCTGATACTCTTCTACTTCTAGATTTTGTTGATCTCAACAATGGCAGGTTCTACGTGGGAGTCTGTGCATTTGTGAAGGTCCAATTGAAGGTAAGGAAATGGAGTAGTCGGGCTGCCTGGGAGACTCTGTTGGCAGTGGGAGGAAGTGAGTGGGTGGGGAAGGCTCCAGACCATGGCACAACTAGAAAGTTAGATCCTCGGGCCTTAGCCAAGAGTGATGATTCAGCCAGTCTTCTTTAGCATGGTAGTGTTTAAACATTTTTACCCATGTGTCCCATAAAGGAATTTTGAAGAACTCTTGTCATCCTTAAACATTTTTAAGTTGACATTTAAAAATTTTCATTAAAAAATGAAAGTAATTTCAAAGTAAATTTTTTTTGGCATATTGTAAACTTTGAAATTTTAAAAACAATTTGTGACATTTAAATGTATAACATAAATATGACAAGGAAAGAAATATTGTGGTGATCTAGTTAAGAAAATACATGAGTAAGCTGGTAGTACTCAGAAATTTGATATGATTACTTCTTTATCTGAATGCATATTTCTATCCTACTTTCCCACTGGTTTTTATCTTAATATATATTTAGGATTGAAAGTCTTTGATACCATATCCAATTTTTCTACCTTTATGTGTGTGTGAGTAAACAAATTTTTTTGAGGTTTACAGTGACTTTAATGGTCTAAATATTTAAAAAATTTTCTTTGGGTTTGAATTATTATTACAGTTACTATTAACACAATTGATCAGATAATTGAGCTTCTATTGAAAAGACAACGCAAATATATTGATTTTGATGATTATTAAAAGTGAGAATTTTATGGATAATGTATTTCATTTTTAAAATTTTTTTATTGTGATTTGAATGAAAATTTTCTGAACAAATCACTCCTCCATTCATCAATTCATCTATTTTATGTTTTATTGACAGTAATTACAATCCTGACAAGCCACTTCCTGCCAGTGTTTCTAGTTTCCATTTTTCTTTTCTATCTCTTCTTGCCTCTTGAGCTTTACTGTTGGCCAGTATAGCACTTATGATCTTGTATATTTGATTGTTCTAGTGTGTTCTTGGTGTTGGAACATATATGTATTAAGTGAGATATATGGTGCTGTCTTTCCCCATTAGTTTGTAAAATTTATATTTGAACCATTACTTGTCTCTAGAATGAACATTTATCATTAACTATTTTCTGATTTCTTATTTTAACAAGTATTACTGAAATGTTTTGTTCATATACATAGGTAGGTGGGACTGCAAAAGTATTTTGCTACACTAGTACTACTCATTCCTTTGACTGTTTTCTGAGTTTTATTAAATTCATAAATGCTATCACTGAAAATGACATTTTCCTGCCCCCTAAAAGCCTGATTAGGTTTGCCCTCAATTTTGTGGAAAACCAAGAAATGGAAACCTGACTTGCCTAAGAATCGACTCTTCAATTTTAGATGTGAGATTTAAAATTATGCCTCTTGTATCTTGTAAGTTTTTGTACCTTAGCATAATATGTCTTTATAAGGTTTGGTATGATTTTAAGGGAAAGAGGAGGTGAGAAAGGAGAACAGGCCTCATCACAGGCACATTTCTGGACAGGTCTAGAAGTAATCAAGATGGAGTTCTAGAATGCCATTCCTTTACACAGGTAAAGCTCTCTATGCCCATGGACCCTTTAGCAAGGCCACTGGGCATGTGTACAGCCTTTTTTAAAAGCTGCTGCTTGAGGTTTTAATGTTAGAAATAACTCCTTTTCTAACCCAGGATGGATCGTATCATGAAGATGTGGGTTATGGTGTTAGTGAGGGCCTCAAGTCAAAGGCCTTGTCCCTGGAGAAGGCCAGAAAGGAGGCAGTGACCGATGGGCTGAAGCGAGCACTCAGGTAAGCAGAAGGGCTGAAGTTTCCTCCTTCGTTTCAACTCTTACTTCAAAGCAGTTTGTTTTTTTGTTTTCTGGTAGGGAAAAGTGTTTATGCGATTCAAGCATCAAAATACAAAATAGGATTTAAAAATGATAGTCTCTTCCACTCTGGTACTAGACGTTCTTCCCCATTTCCTTTAGTGTTTCCCTCAGTGTTTATCCTTAGCTCATCCATTTTAAGTGGCAGAATTTTTTTTCTCTTTCGTAACTGTTCTGGCTTTTCCCCCTCCCTACTCAGTAGTGCACCCTGGAAGTGTCTCCCCAGGAGTACATAGCTTCCTTATTCTCTTTAATACACTTAAATAATTCTCCGTTGTGTATATGTAACATAGTTTGATAGAGAAGAGGTCTTAAACCTTTTTTAGTGGCCATCATCAAGCCTTTAGAGAGCTGAAGTGAATTGAATTGCTTGAAAAATGTGTATAAACATGCACTGAAATTTTCATTATTGTTTCTCATGGAGGTGTCCCTATTCTCCAAATTAAGAAATGTGGCCATGAAAAAAAAATGTACCATTGAACGAACCCCTCTTTCACCAGCCCTCAAGTGTATAACCCACAGTTTCTGGTAGGGGGAAAACAGTATCTCTGCTCTGGAATTTGTGTTCCACGTCAGAAAATGGCTAATGGGGTTTTGTTAATCATTCTTTGGTCTTTTCATGTACATTGCCTCTCTTAGAAAGAGGTTTTTGTCTGAAAGCTCACTGTTGTAGTCTCAGCACCTAATACAGAGTCGGGACATGACCGATGATTAGTAAACATTTATTGAGTGCTAAACAGGGTCCATTTCCTATGCTGCAGTTGAGAAGCCACTTGTACAAAGCTTATAATTACTCTCTTGACATTTAGATGCAACAATTCTTAACCTAGTTTCACTTTTGTCCTTACCCTTAGGAGTTTTGGAAATGCACTGGGAAATTGTATTTTGGACAAAGACTATCTGAGGTCACTAAATAAGCTTCCACGCCAGGTATGCCAAAAACAGATGAATGGATTTAAGATTGTCTAATTCTCACCCATTGTGGGTTGAGTGTTTGGAGGGGAGAGATTTGGGGGAAAGGGAAGAAGAGTGGACTCAGCTGTCTGGAGGACCTGAAGAGTATATTTAAGACCTTGCAATGTCGGAGCTAGCAGGAATCAGTCCCCTCACTTTACACATGACAAAACTGAGACCTAGAAAAGGTGTCTCATACACACAAAATAGTATGTGAAAATTCCTTCAAAAAGCATAAGGCCCTCCACATCACTCTGAGATTTCTTAGAAACCCTCAGCACCTCACCTGCTCACACTTTCTTGCTTTTTCTTTTAGGCCTTCGGTCTTAAAGGCTTAGTTCTTCCTTGTATCTGTCAGTGCTTCACACAGTGGCTGCCTTCTCTGGGCATTCTGGGACATCTGTGCGGTGCTGCCTCCCAACGTAGAATCCTCCATGCTCCATCTGAGGGGTTATATTTTTATAGAGCCCTGAAGTAGGGTTGCATGTCAACTGGAATTTGTCAAAACGTCTTTTTTTTAAAAAAAAAATGAGCGTCACAGCATACACGCAGAAGACTGCACAGATCCTAGGAGCATAGCCTGATGAATTCCTGCACGAACGTGGCTGGTTTGTGCCCGGATAAGGAAACAGAACACTAACAGCCTTCTCAGAACACTCTCCTGCCCCACTCAGGCACTGTCTTTTTTTTTTTTTTCTTTTTTCAAAGTAACCACTGTCCTAGCTTTTCTATTCTGATTTCTAGCCTTTTCCCCCTGTTTTTGCACCTTATATCAAAGGAATTAAATAGTTTGTACTTTAAATACATCGAAGTATTTAAAAAGAGCACATAGACATTCAGATATGTCCACGTATCATAAATATTCAGAAAATTTTGAAACCAGACATAGCCATATAACTGGTGACTGTGTGAAGAAATAGTCTAGAGATCCCTATGGATCTGTGGTCACTACCTCGTGCTGCTGTGCCATGACCAGGGAAAACCACCTTGAATAAGATAGGTAATTTTTCTGTCGCTGGCCTGTCTTTCGGCATGATTATGAGATTTGTATGTTGTGCAGTGTTTTCACTGCTCTATAACTTGCTATTGGATAAATATATCCAAATTTATTTTTCCATTATGTCCTTATTAGACTTTTGGGTTTTTTCTTTAGCTTTTGTCCTTTTTGAATAGGGCTGCTGTAACATTCCTGATACCTGCCATTTATCTTGAGACTTTTTAAGTCATACTATAGTTTTATGCTTAGTGTCAGTAGATTGTTCCAGTTTTTCACTGTTCTTGGACTGACTTATGTTTCCACACTGCAATAAATGAGAGCTCTTACTGTTCTAGATTTATGGCAGCTCATGGCTTGGACAATCATAACGTTTTTTCCAAAGCTCTGTTTCTTTTTAGTCATTTACTTTTCACTGTCGATAGGATACCTACATGATAGCTTCCAGGATATCTTTATTAAAATGAAAACTTAGTCATCTCTGTGCCTCCTGTTCAGTGATTCTACCAGCATCAATATTATGAGTTAAGGAAGAAGACTTCCTAAATAAGAAAGTTCCTAGTTTTTGTACTGCTCACAATCTGGCTGTCAGACTAATTGGTATGTGCCATGAAGCCCATGATCCCCATTTTTCATGTGGTGAAATTGGGAACTACCCCAGTCATGAGGCTCCCGGCAGCCATGACTGGTAGTTTAAATTAGTGCTTTCCAAATTGTTTTCTTCTCATTTAAATGACACTTCCCTGTGCTACAGAACACCCAGTACATATCCAGTGCTATATCTGCAGGAGCTGGCAGTCCTGACAGAAAGGTGGAGGCCTTTATAGAGATCATGTTCATGAAAACATGGATAAGGAGGTAGCATCAAATGCATCCAGCTTCCAAGGAAGGATTCAAATCATACTTCATAGACCATTTGTCTTATGTCAAAACCAAAGACAGATTCTTTTTTTTGTCAGATCTTTATTAATAAAGAAGAATATGACAAAATAATGTTCTTGGTGAAGAGATTGAGATTGTACACAGCTTTAGTTTGCTTGGCTCCACAGTCAACAGTCTTGGCACCAGCAGCCAGGAAATTAAAAGGCGCATTGCCATG